GCTGGATCGACGCAACTGATCTTCGTGCCTCCATCTGTCGTTCGTACAGTAAATTTTTTGTTTGCGACGCTGGCCAACGAGTTTGTCACAACGAGCATCTGTGTTTCGATGTTTTCTCCGCAATGACTTGTGAACGCCGCAGCAGAGTCCCATTCAATTCGATACTGGTCCGTATTACTGTCATCACTACGTGGAGCAGTCCAGACAACGAGCATTCCATGTGAATAATCAATCATCTTTGCCTTGACACGAAGAGATCGAGGACCGAGCGGTGGACGAGCCACTAGTAGCAAGCCATTAGCATTTGTTGCTTCGTAAAACGGTCCAAAGCCTATACTGTTGTAAGCAGCAACCCGTACATGATAAGTCCCGGCAGCGAGGCCATCAATCACGTAAGCGAATGGGAGCCTCCCAACATGAAGCTGAGCTCGTCCCTTCCGTTGTTCCTTGATTGTGACGCCAACACCAGTTGTGGTCGTAGCAACAAACGGTGGCATGTCGCCTTGTGCCGACACAAACTCAATCGTCAATCCTTTAGTCGTTGCACTCGCAGAGCAAACCGTTGTCTGCGCTAGGTCTCGAAAACGAACGTTCACACTTCCAGCAACGCCTAAAGCCGTAATCGCTGTCGCCAAATCTTTTGCGTTCGCTAAGCCTGATATCAAACTTGTCTCAAAGCCAAACAGCTTTAATTTAAAACTCATGGAAGCATCTACAGCGATATTGCCTGTTGAGATGCACACGAGATGCTGCAGCTCTGGTGTGGCATCAACAGCGGCGCGTGGTGCCACAAGTGTAGCAAGATGCGGCACGCAGTTAATAAGTTCGGCTGTTGTGCACGCCAATAGGTTGCTACCCGACACCCCTAGCTTATAGCCGAACGGAGCGCGCATTGCAAGCGGTGATAACCAGCGCTTGTGTTGGTTACCGCCGTATTTGCGCTGCAAAAAAGTCACGAGCCACGTATATCCGCCTGCCGTCAACTCACGAGCTACCAAGACATTCTCAACTGTAGAAAGAGCTACGAGTGCCGCTTGCATATTAACAGCCGAGATATCGTACGGAAGCTCCGGGCTCCATTGGCCGTCAAAGCCTACGCGGAATGTACCAGAGAGAAATGTGTTAGGTCCAGCCTTTGGAGCTGAGACCGTTATTGTAGCAACATCATCTGTCACGCTCTGCGATGCCGCCTCAAATGCGTGTATCACTGCAAACGGTTTTTCTGCGGTTGAAATAGCACCGTGCAACCACCACTCGACACGGAACTCGGTCACGGGCTCTCCACCGTCGTGTATGGGTGCGTCCCATTGAACAAGAAGCTGAGAGCCAGACAGGACATCAGTGGTTGCTAGACGCACTGCACCAGGTACCTGTTCGACAAGTTGCAGTGATGTCGGCAGTGGTACGGCTGTGTCACCCCATCCATCTGCATTATGAGATCGAACGCGCGTGTAAATCGAAACACCACCGCCACTTGTCAGCGAATTTGTGGCCAGCTCAAGACGCTGGAAACGGGTGATGATGATCTGTGGTGACTGCACAGCTTGCAGCGCGTAGCCATTAGCTGCTAGTGCGGGATATACACCTGGCTGAACATTTTTTTCTGGCCCAGCAAACTCAACGAACGTAACACGCCATTCGTAGCCGTGTTTGTTTACTTGACGCGAAACGTCAGCGTTGCTTACAGCACTAAGGGTCTCTAGCGCAGCCTTGACATCTGCGTCGCGGGCATCGAAAGGGATGGCAGGAGTTGTGGGAGCTTGATAAATGGTCACAAAGCTATCATGATCACGATAAACGGCTGAAACCACCCCCGAACTGCCAGCGTATCCACTACAGCCATTAATTCCCACATCAAGAATCTGTAGTGTCGACATCCTGCCACGTACTTGTACCCCCGTGAATTCCACTGTGTATTCGACCGTCACACGAACTCCTGGCGACTCAGTGATAGCACGTCTTACACGAACATCGTCAATTCCAGCAAAGTTTTCGAGTTCTCGTTCTAATGCTAGCATATCTCGAGCTGCGTCACTTGCAAGTGGACCAGATGCCCACACTAAGCACCCAACATC